ATCTTCTATGAGGGACAAAATTGTCTTTCTTATAACTCAAGTTTTCATGAATAAAAGTCAAGTGGGTCGGCTAGGAGAGGTACTTTTGTACATCCTCTCTTCTAGTCTGGCCAAATACTTTTCTCCTCTCCTTCTTCTTCTTCTTTCTCTTTTCTTTCTTCTTTCTTCTTCTCTACTTTGACCTAGAAACAACTAGGGTTTATTCACAAAAATAATAGCTAAGGTTCTGTTTCCAAGGATTAGAGTTGCTCTCCCAAATATTATTTGATTAAATCAAGGGGCCTTTGTGAAGAATAGACAAGTCATTGATCAAATTCTAATTGCAAGTGACAGTGTGGAGGAGTTGAAAAGGGAAAGAAATAAAGGTTTTTTATTTAACTTAGATTTGGAAAAAGCTTATGATATGGTGGGTTGGCCCTTTTTGTTGGAAGTGATGAGAAGTTTTGGATTTGGGGAGGGATGGTGTAAGTGGATAATGGGGTGAATTCGGACTTGTCATCATTCTATATTTGTGAATGGAATTGTGGTGGATTTCTTTTTGGCTTTGAGAGGAATTAGATAAGAGACCCTCTCTCACCTTTCCTCTTCACTCTAATCGCTGAGATCCTTGGGAAAATAATTTCTAGGGAAGATTCATTGGGATTGGTGAGGGGATGAAAAGTTGGGCGAGATGGAGTATCAATCACACATTTGCAGTTTGTTGATGATATGATTTTATTCTATGAAGCAGGAGATGGAATGTGGATTAGGAATCTGAAATTAACTGTGAAATGGGGGCCTAGGTCTAGAAGGGTACTCATTGCTAAACCCTAATCCTTGAGAAGTGGAAACCCTAATTGTATCTAAAATACCTCCCTTGACACCTCAGACTTTACAGCCTCAAAGTGTGCTAGACACCCAACTCTAGAGAGCTCAATGTTGGAAGCAATTTAGGCTATCAATAGGCCTTCACTATAGCAATTTGGTAAAGATGAAGGGAGCAGTGTGATTTCTACTAATGAGCATCATTGCAGTTGGATCTTACATATTTGAAGACTTCTTTAATATGATTTTTTGTTTGGAATGTACACACATTTAAGAAGGTATAATTTAACTTAATTTAGGCTGACAAAAAAGGTACAATTTAACTTAGAAAATAAAAATAACAAGAATACATAAGAGATTGTGGGAATATTGGTTAAAGAATTGCTATTTTCTTCATTGTTTTTAAAACAACAGCTTGGGCATGTTGATAAAATTGTATGGCTACCACTCAGCCAACTAGATGCAACAAGAAATTCTTAAGCCTCCTAGCCACAAATCAAAGAGTTGATTGACCAACTGACTATTCATCCTGAAGGAACATGATGGCCACGAGGAAATATGATCTTGCATTCATTTTCTTTTAGAGTAGGTGAGAGATGTTTAATTTTGCAGAAGCCACTTCCCAAGAGGCGACTCTAGGTGGAACAATACATGGTGTTTTCTCATTTGGAAGCACTAGCTATAGGTGTCTAATAAGGTATTTCAGAGCGTTGCCTTATTTTAGATAGGTGACAAATTCTAGGGAAGATGATTGATGCAGGCACGAAAGCAGAGAGGGGAAGCCTTGGAAAAACCGAAAAAGAAATCAAGATGCTTCATATTCTTAAATAATGGAAATTCTGTAATTTTGCGTTATTCGGGCTTTAGTATTTTCAGTTAGTGTCTTGGGAATTGAGCTGACTGTCAATTTTCTAGAAATTTACTTTTAGTAGTAAAAATTGAAATTACTATTTATGTCAACTTTCAAATCTACCATTTGTGGTAATTCGCATAATTACTGTTCATAGTGTAATCATGATTTACCATCTTTAGCAATTCCTGTTGTCTTTACAATAAGTTAATTCTAGTAGCATTAGGAAGGTACCATTAAAGCTATTTTAGGAATTAGTCTTTATTTTAGTGTTCCTATGAGTAACTTAACGAGTTGCCTTAGTTTTAAAGTAGTCAGAAACTTTGAATTTATTTTGGGTCAGTTCCCTAGTTGAAATTGGTGTCAACCGAGCTGTCATGTTTTATCCATATGGAGTCATTGTAATTGGAATTTAGGAGTTGATTTAATGGAACTTCGTATCTAATATCTTTCAGATCACAGATCCTTAATTTCTCTCTTCTTCCCACCATATTCACCCAACTAGGACTTTTCTCGTATAAATGTCATGTACTCGTATATCAATGATGCACAGATGCCTAAAGGGTGTTATTTCATCAGAGGTCAGACTATAAGTTTATACCATGTTCATTATCCAAAGCTTTACCTAATGAATGGAATAAAGAAATCCAGCCTGTTGTTGGTTGTTTCATCTAATGCTAGATGACCTGTTATGACGTATCTCATATTTGTTACTCCATTTATTCTTATGAACTGTAGGCTTTTCTGATTCGTCATGTCATGTTGTGTAGGTGGATTTACCTGAACATTTGGCTAAGCACTGCTTTTCTACATGGATGAAACGTACTTTTTGCAAATTGAATTTGCCAGCTTGAACTTCTAAATGAATTTTAGATTCCGGATATTCCCATGGTGATGGTAGGAGAGCATATGTACATCTTTGAGTTTGTGATGCGTGCAAGGGAAGATCCAGATTCCAACATGGCTGCAGCATACAAATGCCTTTGGGTGTTAACAAATTTGCATGCTGAGAGGGACAGTTCAAGGGCAGGATAAAGTGTGATAAACCATCATTTGGCCAGGATACCGTACGACCCAGATATGGATATATTATCTCCAATCAAACTCATTGCACAAAGTGGGTGTCGAGTGGTTCCTCGACCGTCCAGCAAATGCTGATACATAGATTTAAGGCCGTGTTTGGTTTTAAGGGAAAGAAGGGAAGGAAAAAATATAGAAAGGAGGGAAAAAGAGAGAAGGGAAAGGAAGAAGAATAGAAAAGTTTTCCGGTTTCCCTATCCATTGATTGGTTAATCAATGAAAAAGTAGGTAAAACTAATTTTCCTTTGTTTGATTAGGCAATGAAAGCATATGGGAAATTTTCCTTATTTTTGTTTTTAAAATATTTTTAAATATTTAGATTTAGATGATTGTGTTGTTAGCAACTTGTCACATGGAACCTACAAGGAAAGGCATCTATGGCATAATTCCAATTCTTGTTCATGTCACATTCAAAATATCAATGTATGACCCATTATTTATTAATCAAATTTTGATGATGAATAATACATGTATTGATGTATATATAAAATATGGTTTTTTATTGGGTAAATTACGTATAGGTACCATGTTCAGATTCTCTTTTTTCTACTGCCTCCAGACGCAATCCATGCAGTGGCAGCACCAAAGAAACATTCATTCACGAATTAACAAAGCAGCCAAAGTTTGCAGAGAACATTTAACTCTCTAGTGAAGCCTTCAGACAACAATATGCTTAAATGTTTTCTGAATCCATACAAATTAGGAATTAGGAATGGCATCGGAACAGGTTCAGGACAGGGATTATATTCTCATCCCCAACTCTGATTTTGAAATTATATATATCGAGGTTGGGGAAAATTGCCATGCCCACCATAAATTTTTGCCACCATTGTTTGAATTCAAAAATAAAAAAGAATGAAAAAGAGAAGGGCATTTTTATAATTTTATTCTTATCATCAGTTTTAAACGGAATTGGACTTTGGACTAAAATGTATATTTCAGAAAGTTTAGATTACTTAAATTATCGCATATGGAAGTTTAGGCTCTCAAGTGTTACTACCCGGTATTTACTCTATAAAATATTCAATGACAAAAACAGAAAGGCAAACAAAAAAAAAGGAAAAAGAAATAACATGCATATGAAAGTTTGGCTTTATTGGTGTTAATTGTATCCCAACTTTCCATGTAATAACATGCATGATAAAAAACAGAAACCACATTACTAAATGATCAAGCAAGAAAGAAAACTTGGAAAAATAAAGACACCTAATAGAATATAACAGTGAAAAATGAAAACTCTACCCATGTTCATTTAACAGTGAAAAATGAAAACTCTACCCATGTTCACCGAATTTAAATGTCATATGATGATGCACAATCTGGCCGGTCTTAGCTGTCGATGATCTTGCCTTTGAACTGAGTAACAGTGACCTGAAACGGAAGGAGAAGAGAAGCTCCGGGGAGAACCCGGCGTAAGGGCTCCGAAGCTCAAGTTAGAATCCTTCAAAGGCAAGA